ATGGGCTAGCCTCTTGACTATTTTATGAACTTGTCTATTGACATGTTTATTAAGATGTCTATTGACTAGTATATTAACATGTCTTGAGACTATCCTTTTAACAAGTCTTTGGAATATCTTTTTGACTAGTCTATTGAATATTTTATGAACTAGTATATTGACAAGTCTTTGGATTCTTCTATTGACTAGTTTATGGATTAGTCTATTAAATAGGTTGTAGTTTGTTAAATAGTCAATTAACAGATCCTTTGAGACCACTTATTAAAAGCTGTCAAATAGTACAATAGTACTGAATTCGCCAACCCTGTTTTGTAAGGTAAATGTAAACAAGCATAACAAATAATCCCTTTTTAAAATATTTTATTTTTAGTAATTGTTTTATTTTACACTATATGCTTTAGTATTTTTTTTTTTTCTAATGTAAATTTTTTTACAATCCATTCATGTGTTGTTTGTTTATGTAAATATTTCTTGTTTATTACAAGGGCCACCCACCTCTCATCAAAGACACACCCACAGATACTTAAAAAAACATCAATATATTTAATTTATTGAGCTGCTATGATCAAATATAATAAATATTTGTAAAAAAAATGCAAATTTAAAGATTATACAATGTTAAGGTAACACGATTTTTAAAACAATTGACAATTCTGTAATACATAGAGAGCTTTTTTTTTTGGCATTTAACGGTAAATGTTGCATAGTATAACTGGCAACACTCAACATTAATCATTTAACAATGTTGTCAATAACACAGAAAAATTAAGTAAAAGTGATTATGCGATTAGGTGGGGAGTTTATATCAATGTTTATAAAACTATTAAAAAAAGATCGATGTTTTTTTTATAAAGATAGAAAAAAATTAGTATTTTTTTTTCAAAATGCCGGCTAATTTAAATATATACATATACACATAGAAAATATATTTTTAACAAAACAAAATGTATTAAAAATTTAAAATACTCGTTTCAAGATTTATAATAAATAAAGGCGCGCGCTGCTGGTGGTGATCGTTAATGGTGGGGGGATTGTTAAAGTGTAAATGTATGAGTATTTTTTTTAAGCATAAATATATAGTGAATCATAAAATTTATAAAAAAAAACAAACAGCAAATGTAGTTTTGTAGTTGAAAAGAGGGAAAAAAACGCGTGCTTTAATGAAATACATAAAACGCGTGTGTAGTTAATACTGCTTTTTTCGTACATATTCAAGATCACCTTGTGTTGCTGGTTCAGGTGTAGAAAATAATAAAATAAAAAGCAAAAAACAAGAGATAACAAAAGGTAAAGCGTATAAAACTTAATATGGAAAGCAAAAACAACAAAACTAACTCTTTAAAATGTATTCTTATCATTCTTATTATCCATTCACTTTTTTTTTTTTGGTGCAAAGGCGGGGATATAGAAAAAAAAACACATTTTATAAGAAATCTATGTATAAAAATGCAACCGCATTGCATTGCAATGTATTTTATTTTATATACATTTATATTTAATTTCAATTTTACTTTGAATGAGTATGACATCAGAGAAATTTTGGCGCCGTTAGTTTTTAGGTCAATTGACAAAAAATTCAACCACATACACACTAAAAGTAATGAAAAATAAAAAGAAAAAAGCAGCAACAAACTACTTTAAACGAAATGCTTAAATTAGTTATAAATTAGCCAAAATAATTTTGCATTTAAATAATAAGCAACCGTTATTTTAAACTAAAAAAGAAAAAAAAACACACCCCTTGGCCCGCTAGCCAAAAAAAATGAGAATAAACTTAAGAAACAAAGTAAATAAAAAAAAAACTAAAAGAAATTATATGGAAAAATATGCGTCATGCCTTTGGTTTAGCTCATAGACAAATATATATTAGATATTTATAGCTATAATGCAGAATATTAATGAAATGTATCACAAAAAATAATTTGAAACAAATGACAAACGTTAGAAAAATTTGTAACCGAAAAAGCAAACCATATATTTGATATTGACAGAAAGAGAGTATTGCCTCTATATTTTTTACTCTTTAATAATGTAATGATTTGCTTGACAGTTTCTTTAAGAATGCATTCTTTTAATTGTTTGTTTTGGAGAGCTTTATATAGAGAGTATGAATCAGAATTGTAAATATATGAGTAAAATTATTTGTTTAACCTTTTTTTCTGCATTTTTCAATGGAAATGGTACAGGGTACTATTCTGGTACTTATTGTTTAAACATACTCCCAGTTTATGGTACATTTTTCCTGCTACTAATGGTATGCAGCCGTGTGTTGTTGTTACTACACCCAATGTAAAAATTATTGAAAAAATATTAGAAAAACAGACATGCGCAAAATAAAATCGTTAAATCCGTAAGAAAAAAAAATATGAAAAGAACACAATACACACCAGACATACAAACACATAATTAGAAAAATTCCAATACTTTGAAATATACGACAAAAGCAGAGATGCCATTTATTGGGAAAATAAACTTTATACTGGATAGGTTTAATACGATTTTTCTCTCTCGATGTTTCACACTTTGTGTTTGGTATATTTTCAATAGAGTTGTTGTTATAACAGTTTGACAACAAACTTTCGGTTGATACAGCTTTCGCAAAGTTGATGATCCGGGAGAAAGTTCCATTTGCCGTGATAACATAAGCAAAATGTGTGACCATTTGCTATCAATAACTTGTCTGTAAACATTCAAGTTCTCGAAAATCTTTTTAAAAACGAGATCGCCAGATATATGTATAGTCTGTATGGCTATGGAGTCCAATCATTCTTGATCTCTAAAATCTTTTTAAGTATAGGGGCCTTCATCGCTAAAGAGACCTGATAGTAATCCAGAAAAATATTTGCTAAGTAGCTGAAGTTTAATCAAATATCGGGCTATATAGCTTAGCTGATGTCTCTATAACATCTAGATTCAAATTGAATAATGCTCTATATCTTTAAACGATATATTCGAGGAAAACGCTAGTATGAGTTTCTGTTTACCACAAGTAACTGTATAGCTGAAGAATTAGCCTGGACTTGTGATAGGAGATGAAAAAATCGATGCCTTATTACTCTCTTATAAATTGTAAGTCGCTTGTTGAAATCAAATTATTTAAACAAGCTCAACTTAGCTGGTTTAATGAGATTACCAGTCAGACCTCGGCATCTTCCTGACCTCTATACGATGCACTTATGTCAAACTTAGTTATGTTTCCGCAGAGAGTACATGATCTCTATTATAAAGAATACTATTGCAGAAGTTGCCATAATGAGGATGAAGGGGGACCGAGTCTTACCTATTCTGTTACTGCCCGAAATTTCTGAAGTTTAAGAAACTTTTTAGTCACTTTACATCTATTAGTTATAATCGGGTGGTTTAAAGCCATCAAAGTGAATAATACTTAATATATACTTATCTAGAGTATCACAACTATATGGACCCAAGTGATCTGTTCATTGCATAGCTAACCTTTGAATCTTAAACTTATTACTTTCAAAGCTAGTTATAGAATTTTTACAGGTTATGGTTTGTTTGATATTGTAATCTTCATAACGTTTTGTGAAACTAATTCCTACAGTTTCGGAAAGAACGGTGGCTAAAAGGTATGTATAGTTGTAGTTGAAACTAGACATACATCGCTGTAAACTTCATTCCGAATATTTGGGAATGCTAAAAGTAATAATATAGTTCTGAAATTATTCTATTTGCACTTCTTGTAGAATAGACTTTCAAAAGTTTTCGAACTAATTGCAAAACAATTACTTCCAGAAATTAGTTAGTTTATCAAGACAGTAGCCGGTATAAGATAATTTATTACATTTCATTTTATGTATATCTTTTATTTCAGGGAAAAGGGTCGCCCTGGCCAATAAATATAATTGATGATGCCGAAGCTGTTTATAAAGAAGAAGAAAGAAAATCCGCATAATTTTATGCTCTAGACATATTGTCTCCTCTTATTTTTGGGTTCATACATATCTACACTTAATTCGTATACGAAAAATCCCCATTTGTTAGCTGTGAAATGGGAAAACTAAAGGTGGAGGTTGGCAACCAAGTTGGAAAATACAGCATAGAAGTGTAGCAGTAGTAGCAGCAGCAGATAGATTGGATGTATAGATGGATCAAACGATATAGAAGTGTAGAAACACACACATAAACTCATATATAGGCTTTAAGAGTAAAAAACGCAAAACTTATACCAATACACTGAGAAAAAATAAACGAACACATACACTAACTAGAGCTCACACACAGATACTTGTCAAATTGTAGATAGATGAATGAGTAGATATGAATACACACTAACACACAAATAATAGCTCCTCATACATATATATAAAGATAATTTCAGACATACTTATATATATTTCAAAAAAAAAACTGTTAAGCAGTCACATTTTTTGTTAATAGAAGTTTTTTTTTCAAAAATATTAAAAAATCATTTAATTAAAAAAATTAATATTTTGTTTAAAATATTTATATTTGAAATTATAAATAATTTTTATTTATAACAAATTATTAAAAATTTTATTTCTAAAACTACACAGACACACACACACACAGAGACCAACACACCGCTTTTATAGAATTCAAATTCAAGTATTTTTCTTGTTCTTTTTACAACCATGAAAAAAAATCTTTTTGCGTAGTATTTTTATCGATCGGCCGACGTAAACGAGTCACTAGGAGGAGGCTCAGGTCGTGTGGCAAGAATTTTTTTCATAGAATTTATTTTCATCAATTTTTATTTTATTCTTTGCACTTTTTTTCTTAATTTTTTGGTACAATTTTAATTAAGACACCAGCATCATTTTGAATTTTTAATTAAAAGTTTTTTATTCACATTCAATAGTTGCTTTTTCTCTTTGTGTATTGTTTTTAATTATTTAGTTTTATTTTATATATAAATATATTTTTTTTATTAAATTATATTAAATTATTTCCACATTTTTTTGTATGTCAAAGTGAGTAAAAAAATATATTTTTTTTTAGTTGGGAATTTTTTTACTTACTTTTGCTTCAATTGAAATGACGACGACGACTACAACCAATACAACGAAGACAAACGACTAAAAGCGACAATAAGAACTCAGTAAATTTTTTTGTTCAATTTTCGAAAAAATATATTCATCTAAAAAATGTACATTTGAGCATAACTCTCTCATTAAATATATTCCGGAGAAATTGAAATTCTCTCAGACTCGGGAAAATTTCTTGTCTCTAGCAAAAAAAAAAAAAAAAAAATGCAAGTGTAGAGACATTCAAATATCTTTAATGGGAAAAAAGTATCTGAAAAATATGGTTAGCAACTAAAACTTAGGTAATTGGACAAATATTTTTCAACTACTCTCTTATTTCATTCTCTACTCTCGTTTCTTGGCGATTTTGTAGATAGTGAGAGAAAAAGTGTGAGAGTTATATTTTAATAACATGCGCTTTTTTTGTATTTCAAACTGGCAATACCATTTTATTGTCACTATAGAGTTTTAGTCGGCAATGTCAACTTTGTTTTTTTTTTTTTCAGTTGAAGATTTTACCGATTTAAATGACATTTCGAAGTGCTCATTTTTGACAAGTTGTTATCTTAAAAATTAATAAATTATTTAATACATTTCAATACTCAGTGTAGGAACTACGATTTTTATAAAAAATCTTATTTTAAATTTTTCAAAATAATATTTACTCTTTGTTGCTTTTACTATTAGTTCTTATTAGAAGTGGAAGTGCCTTGGTAAACTAATTAGCCCAACAAACACTTTTCCTATTATTGTTTTTAATAAACTTTGTATTATTCATATAAACAAAATTGTTTTCCATCATTTGAACTGAACTAAAACAGGACTAGAACTGAACTAGAACTGTACTAGTACTGAATTAAAACAAGACTAGAACTGAACTAGAAGAAACCTAGAACTGAACTAGAACTAAACTAGAACTGAACTAGACCGAACTAGACCTAACCTAGAATTAACCTAGAACTGAACTAGAACTAAACTAGAACTAAACTAGAACTGAACTAGAACTGAACTAGAACTGAACTAGAACTGAACTAGAACTGAACTAGAACTGAACTAGAACTGAACTAGAACTGAACTAGAACTGAACTAGAACTGAACTAGAACTGAACTAGAACTGAACTGAACAAGAACTGAACTAGAACTGAACTAGAACTTAACTAGAACTGAACTAGAAACTGAACTAGAACTGAACTAGAACTTAACTAGAACTGAACTAGAACTGAACTAGAACTGAACAAGAACTGAACAAGAACTGAACTAGAACTAACTAGAACTGAACTAGAACTAAACTAGAACTAAACTAGAACTGAACTAGAACTGACTAGAACTGACTAGAACTGAACTAGAACTGAACTAGAACTGAACTAGAACTGAACTAGAACTGAACTAGAACTGAACTAGAACTGAACTAGAACTGAACTAGAACTGAACTAGAACTGAACTAGAACTGAACTAGAACTGAACTAGAACTGAACTAGAACTGAACTAGAACTGAACTAGAACTGAACTAGAACTGAACTAGAACTGAACTAGAACTGAACTAGAACTGAACTAGAACTGAACTAGAACTGAACTAGAACTGAACTAGAACTGAACTAGAACTGAACTAGAACTGAACTAGAACTGAACTAGAACTAGAACTGAACTAGAACTGAACTAGAACTGAACTAGAACTGAACTAGAACTGAACTAGAACTGAACTAGAACTGAACTAGAACTGAACTAGAACTGAACTAGAACTGAACTAGAACTGAACTAGAACTGAACTAGAACTGAACTAGAACTGAACTAGAACTGAACTAGAACTGAACTAGAACTGAACTAGAACTGAACTAGAACTGAACTAGAACTGAACTAGAACTGAACTAGAACTGAACTAGAACTGAACTAGAACTGAACTAGAACTGAACTAGAACTGAACTAGAACTGAACTAGAACTGAACTAGAACTGAACTAGAACTGAACTAGAACTGAACTAGAACTGAACTAGAACTGAACTAGAACTGAACTAGAACTGAACTAGAACTGAACTAGAACTGAACTAGAACTGAACTAGAACTGAACTAGAACTGAACTAGAACTGAACTAGAACTGAACTAGAACTGAACTAGAACTGAACTAGAACTGAACTAGAACTGAACTAGAACTGAACTAGAACTGAACTAGAACTGAACTAGAACTGAACTAGAACTGAACTAGAACTGAACTAGAACTGAACTAGAACTGAACTAGAACTGAAATAGAACTGAACTAGAACTGAACTAGAACTGAACTAGAACTGAACTAGAACTGAACTAGAACTGAACTAGAACTGAACTAGAACTGAACTAGAACTGAACTAGAACTGAACTAGAACTGAACTAGAACTGAACTAGAACTGAACTAGAACTGAACTAGAACTGAACTAGAACTGAACTAGAACTGAACTAGAACTGAACTAGAACTGAACTAGAACTGAACTAGAACTGAACTAGAACTAAACTAGACCTGAATTAGAATCGGATTAGCTCAATGGATTCACAAATCCTTGGACCATGAAATCCTTTTTGTTTGAGATCTGCTTTATACTTGTTGAAGCACATTTTGTAGTTGTTCCAGTCTATAGCTTGACCTGTAAGCTTAGCCTTATTAAACAATTTCCTAACAGTCGACCTTTGAATTCTAAATTCCTAAAATCCACCAATTAGATTGTTTTCTCCTGCCGGGAACTGAATTAGAACAGAATTTGCACTGAACTTAGTAATGATATTGGAACCAAAATTATTCTAATCATACAAACTGTAAAGCAACTTAAGCGAAAAATTAAAAATTGCCACGCCCACCTTTTCTCTATTCTTTAAATGTAAAATAAAATTTCTTCCAAGTAGAAAGGAAAAATAAGGGCTGATAATTTAAACAAAATTAGACTATGAAATAAAAATACAATGGATTTTACACATAGTTCTAGTTCTGTTCAATTATAGTTCTAGTTCATAAAATGTATAAAAAAAGAACGGTATCGATATAATTTAGTTTGTTTGTCGGCATATAACATTTTTTTATTTAAACAAAATTCTGTAATTTAGGAAAGAATACAATTGAAGTAAAATATGCAAAATGAAAAGAAATACCACGTGACATTGGAAATTTAAAATGCATCATCACACTTAGTAACGGCAAAACTAACAAATACCAGCCAGCCATCGAATCCAGCCAACAAAAACAACTACACATACATATATAAATATTTAAACAATTCGACAGTTACAGCAGATATTTAAATGTATTTATAGTGGCTAGAAGAGAAGGAGAAATACTACATTGCAAATACCAACAATTATTGCTTTGTACCAGTCATAATAATCATAACAATAGCAATAGATGCAATCCATCTAACTGGTAGCCACCACAAAAAGAACCAGCATCGGAGTAGAGGCAGGAGCAGCAACAGCGGCAGCAGATGTATCCATACAAGTCAAATTGCAATTCCCACAAAAGCCACGAAGAGTTCATGGAAAAACCGAATGAATGCATGAATGATACATACCCATAATTTACACAAATAATTTTGAAATGAGAAAAAAAACATACACACTTACACAACACGAAGATAAATAGAATGAAGAAATACAAAAGAAAAAAATTTATACAATAATCTATTGATACTTTAATAAATAGAAAAGAAAATAATAAAAAAAAACAAATAAAAGCTTACTAAAAATAGAAGATTTCAAAAAAAAAACATAAACAACTAGTAAAAAAAAACTAATAAATGAATATAGAAAAATATTGAAGAAGTGATAGATAGTTTTATCCATAACAAGTTTAAAAGTGTTTTATTCCAGAAAAAGTTTAAATAAAGATGTGAAATTTAAAAATATTTGAAATTTCAATTTATCACCAGAAATTCGATGTATTTTACAATTTCCAATGTAGTTTCTGAATTTACGGATTTTAAGACATGTTCGAAAATTCGAATTTAATTTTGAAAATTAAAAAATTTTAAAAAGTAAATATAGTTCAGTTCAATTTTAGTTCAGTTCTAGTTCAGTTCTAGTTCAGTTCTAGTTCAGTTCTAGTTCAGTTCTAGTTCAGTTCTAGTTCAGTTCTAGTTCAGTTCTAGTTCAGTTCTAGTTCAGTTCTAGTTCAATTCTAGTTCAATTCTAGTTCAGTTCTAGTTCAGTTCTAGTTCAGTTCTAGTTCAGTTCTAGTTCAGTTGTAGTTCAGTTGTAGTTCAGTTGTAGTTCAGTTCTAGTTCAGTTCTAGTTCAGTTCTAGTTCAGTTCTAGTTCAGTTCTAGTTCAGTTCTAGTTAAGTTCTAGTTCAGTTCTAGTTCAGTTCTAGTTCAGTTCTAGTTCAGTTCTAGTTCAGTTCTAGTTCAGTTCTAGTTCAGTTCTAGTTCAGTTCTAGTTCAGTTCTAGTTCAGTTCTAGTTCAGTTCTAGTTCAGTTCCAGTTCAGTTCTAGTTAAGTTCTAGTTCAGTTCTAGTTCAGTTCTAGTTAAGTTCTAGTTCAGTTCTAGTTCAGTTCTAGTTCAGTTCTAGTTCAGTTCTAGTTCAGTTCTAGTTCAGTTCTAGTTCAGTTCTAGTTCAGTTCTAGTTCAGTTCTAGTTCAGTTCTAGTTCAGTTCTAGTTAAGTTCTAGTTCAGTTCTAGTTCAGTTCTAGTTAAGTTCTAGTTCAGTTCTAGTTCAGTTCTAGTTCAGTTCTAGTTCAGTTCTAGTTCAGTTCTAGTTCAGTTCTAGTTCAGTTCTAGTTCAGTTCTAGTTCAGTTCTAGTTCAGTTCTAGTTCAGTTCTAGTTCAGTTCTAGTTCAGTTCTAGTTCAGTTCTAGTTCAGTTCTAGTTCAGTTCTAGTTCAGTTCTAGTTCAGTTCTAGTTCAGTTCTAGTTCAGTTCTAGTTCAGTTCTAGGTCAGTTCTAGTTCAGTTCTAGTTCAGTTCTAGTTCAGTTCTAGTTCAGTTCTAGTTCAGTTCTAGTTCAGTTCTAGTTCAGTTCTAGTTCAGTTCTAGTTCAGTTCTAGTTCAGTTCTAGTTTAAGTTCTAGTTCAGTTCTAGTTCAGTTTCTAGTTCAGTTCAGTTCTAGTTCAGTTTCAGTAGTTCAGTTCTAGGTTCAGTTCTAGTTCAGTTCTAGTTCAGTTCTAGTTCAGTTCTAGTTCAGTTCTAGTTCAGTTCTAGTCCGTCTAGTTCAGTTCTAGTTCAGTTAGTTCTAGTTCAGTTCTAGTTCAGTTCTAGTTCAGTTAGTACTAGTTCAGTTCTAGTTCAGTTCTAGTATCAGTTCTAGTTCAGTTCTAGTT